TATAGATCTTCTTCTAAGTTTTTCTCACTCACAACCCGATGGTGCAAATAAAATGAAGAGGAGCAAGCTTAGGGACCAAAACAACAAACATCACATCTAATTTATAGTACTCTGCCCATCACAGAGTTCAATGGATGTGACCACATTATGGAATGTTACTAAATTCATGTGTTGAACTTAAATACTATATGAACCACATTCTGAAAATTATTTCTCTTAAAAACACCAAAGAATTCCAACGGTTATTGAAATTAATTTGAGAATTTCAATGGGTATTGAAATTAATTTGGCAATTCCAAAGGGTATTGAAATTAATTTAGAGTTTTAATTAATTTGGGAATTCTAAAGAAATAAATTTAATTCACATCATTAACTAATTTGGGAATCTTAAAGAAAAAATCCCAACATATTAAGCGTGTTTTTCAATTTTTTTTTATTCTAATATTAGGTTAACATTTATTTTGAATATTTTTGGAAGTGATCATACTTTAATCAAAAATGTCAAACACATTTTGTTCAAATCAAAAGACAAAATGATTATGGAGAGAAAATAGCGAATAGAAAATAAAAATGGTCTCAAATGATAGTTATCTGGTACTCAAATGCATCATGGCATCCAAACACACGAACGATGAACCCCATCCATTGAAGATATCTCGAAAATATGAAGTGTCAAGACAAACCGCAGTTGGTCCCAAAAGAAGTGGGGAGAAATTACCATTAGAGATGTGATATTGCCAAAACAATACTCCACATAAACTGAAAGAAGTGCAATCCAATAATGGTATAGATAAAGAAAATACGAAGCAATAAAGAAGAACAATGCAATATGACCATCATAATCAGTAAGAAATCCATGAACCTAAATAATTCAATTGTTCCAAAAAGTTGGTTGAGTCATTTGAAGGTTGTATTGCACAAACAAAAAATAAATAAATTGTATGCACGAGCCTATAATAAGCAACAAAATCTTCAAGACTATTAGGATACTCATAGTGGACATGTAGTATGAGTACAAAAAAAAAAAATATGTCAACGTGAATATTGAGACAATTCGACAACCCAAGAAAAAAATAACATGACAAAGTTGGACACATCGGAAAGTGACCGGACGGCCCAGAAGAACTGATCGGCTGAAGCTAGCCATAGACTTTCTGAATTGACTGAATGATACACGATCAAATCCTCTAAGGACTTGAGTTTTCTCAGCAATCAGGAATTACCCTTACAAGAATGAAGATTGATAAATATCAGTCAACCAAATTAGTTTTGCCCATCATCTTTGATAATCCAGCTGGTCGCCCTTACTTGAAGAATCAACTGGCTGATGGTCTTCAAGGTTGATCGGCAACATTAATCATCTCGCCTCTTCGGCCCCAATCGGCTAAGTCTGAGGGCAATCGATCTCTGGGCCCAAAGGAGCATAATTCCTAGAATAACATATACAACCCTCTTTAAAGCAGAGTTAGAAAGGTAATTCACGTTCATCCCATTTTCTCACCTATAAATAACCAGGCGTTCTCATGTAATAGGACTTTTGGCTCGTCCCCCTTCTTCATATATAAAAAATATTTAATTATATAAAAAACTGTCACAAGAGCCTGAGAATACTCTATTTGCCCCAGAGTTGTGGCAAGTCGAAGTGCACTACTCTCTTCACTCTATCTCTATCATTTTCTCTTTCTCTTATTTTCTCCGGTTCAAACGTTCCAATATGTTGGGCCTGCCTCCCATATAAATTTAGATTTTCTTCACGGACAAATTCAGATTCAAAATTATGTTCTTCTTTTCATATCCTAATTCATAAAGCTAACACATTACCTTTATTCGGCATCAGAATATCAAATCCATTGCCGACGACCATACTTAAAACTCCATATTTATTTATTGTGCTTTCCATTCCAATGAGGAACAAATAAAAGATTGCTCTGTCTACACTAAATCCATTCGTTTAAATCTAGGGCTTCTATTGCTCACTAAAATTCGTAAAAATATTTAATATTTATGATGCGGCTTATCACTTCAAGTTATTTTATTGACCTGAGTAAAGACATTTCTGATCCCCAACAGCAAGTTGGCAGCTGCACGTAAGTCATGTGATGAAAGTAACAAAGGCCTGCCACGTGGGTCCAACTTTTGACTTATTCATCAATTTTTTCAGTCATTATGAGAAAAATTAGAAAAAGGATATTTTGTGTGGGATTAGGATGGAAACAATAGTTTAGTTTTGATTGAGGGAAATTCTCTATTTTTTATATTTTTTTATTAATTGTAATTGAGTCTCTATATATAGAGCTTTATCCCTCTCATGAGAAGGGAGGAGAGCTTAATGCTCAAAGAAAGAGAGTTTGGTGTCTGCTTGAAGCTTTGAGAAGAAACTGAAGTCAAACATCACTTCGTTATCGATCGCCGGCCACAAATGGTCGACCGCCATTGATTACCAGTTGCCGACTGCCACCGACCATCACTCGTAGGTCGTCGCCGATCAAGATCAGACGTCGCTCACTTCTTACGACAAGTTCATTCACGCACCAACTTTGTAGCTCGGGAGATAATGCAACATTTTTTTTTCTCCTGTAGGATAAGAAATTGTATTTGTAACCTCCGATTTATAGTGTATCTCTTGAGCTTAGTCAGACCCCTTTGTTTTTCCCTCTACAGGTTTTCCACATAAGAACTTCTAGTGCCTCTACTAGTTTTTATTTTTTCTTTATTTGAAAATGTGTGTTGAATTCTCATGCAACGCTGAGACGAAAATTTATTACTCTACCGACGTGAAGCTTCTACCACACATCAATTATATACCTTAACATATATATAAAAATATTAATATAAAATGAGTGTCACTTAAATTTGAAAATTGTTGGACATAAAAAAATTAGCACAAAGAATTATTACACTAGCACTTCTACCCCACCCTAATAGTTCAGAGTTTCAGTACCGATGAAATATTGTGTGTGGACTAGCAGATGTGGATTTGATAGTATCGTGGTGATATTATGATAGTATTCATCAATATTCTCTCTTCGCTTCCACTGCATTGGACATTTGTGTGACAAAGTGGTAATATAGAGAGTTATTTTATAATTGACATATTGTACCAAATTATGGTACAATTTTAATTAAATTACAAATAAAACGAATATTTAGAAAAAAATTAATTAGAAATTGCTTGATATAAAAGATAAATATTTTTTGATTTTTTAATAATTTAAACATAAATTTTCCAATTTAATATATTTTAAGTATGTTTTTTTTTTAATTATATTTGAAATAAGTCAGCTCATGAGATAACGTGTTGAGTTGGGATTGGCTTGAGTTTGATTTATTAGTTCATGAGCCGCTTATGGAGCTGACTCATTGAGTCTGATTGGCCCACTTGCACCCCAAGTGATGATGATGACAACTTGTATGATTGATCGACTTAAGAATGGATTAAGAAGATGCCGAATAACGCTCACAACCCGGATGCTAAACCAAAGGCTAACTAAAGAAGGCCAACATAATTGAAAAATGTCAAGGGCATGTCTATCATTTCTCAATTAATAAATATAGAATAGGGGCTGAAATTAGACCATGCTTAACTTCTAAAATTCTCTACAACAATCAATTTATCAAAATTAAAATTTATTTGTTACCTATTTTATTTAAATGCTAAAATATAAAATAATATTAAAAAAATTAAATATTAGACGTACAAACAAAGAAAAATTCAATGCTATATATTTCCTTCTTAGAATTCGCGACAAAAGCTATGGACTGGAATGTGCAGCTGGTCACCATTTTCAACTGGACACCATTTTTCAACATCGGAATCAATCTAACGTGCCCTATCCAGCGCGACTGGCGATATTTATTGCAGTACACGCGCGGCACATGACACAACGCCAAATTTATTCCGAAATAAATTCACAATTAAGCAAAATAGGAATCAATATAAAAAATAAAATTTAATAAATATATATTATTTTCTTGTAAAGTTAGTCATCAATATAAAATAAAATTTAATTTAGGTTATTACAAATTTATTTTATTTTTTAAAAATTAGAAAAAACTTTTTTGTCAGGTATTGTATTTAGCCAAATGAGATCGTAAAATACAACTTTTCATTGTGGCACCGCCAAAGAGATCATATCTGTTATAACAAGAAGGCAAGAACTAGTGCTTGATCTAACTTTTCTTAAGTTGCAAAGACAAGTTTTCTGCAGAATAATCTTCATCAACTTTGAATATATATTTTTTTTAATTTATAATATTTTATGTTTTAAGGATTTGAAATGAACTAAAAATTCATGTATTTATGTACAATCAAATATTTCATGAACATTAAAGAAAATTAAAATTATTATAAGAATTAAATAAAAAAAAATAACATACTATTCAAACCCACACCGTCCCCAATAAAATGAGCTCTTTGACCGCCAGGCTAAGGACTTCATTCTTTCGATTTATTATTAGGAATATTTTGGAAAAGCTTGCCCCTTCAAGGGCGACATGATCCACCAGAGGCCCTGCAAGTGCAACTATCATATGATGAGACTCATAGACCCATGTGGCTCTTCAATGACGCGATTTGATTTATTTTAAAGCTTTATCTTTTTTTTATCTTTATTTTTTATTATTTATTTTTACTTAACATAAAAAATGATTGATATATTATAAAATGATAAATTATTTTTAAACTAAATAAAGCATAATTATAAGATAAAAAAACCAAGTGTCATCCCCAATAAGCCCTAATTTGCACAGTTATATTCCATGATCGAATAATAATACGATGTTTCCTATAACTAATATTGGTTCTAATCAGATGGGCCCTTCTCCTAGGAACTTAAATAAATCTCAAAACTTCGCCCCTGATTGAAATGCATAGCAGAGAGCAGCATAAGTTTTCCACTATCGAATTAACAAATGTTTATGAAAAACCCAAAAGATGTTAAAACTTTCATTCAATAGAAAATAAAAATATTTGAAATTAACAAACCAAACACAAATAAGCAGCTTTTCAATTTTTTACTTAATATGCATTCTTCTTACAAAAGATATCAAGTAATCCATCCATCAATACAACAGCAAGGATTTTTTTTTTCATTGTAATTTTTGCAGAATACGGCATGCTTAAAAATACTAGGCAAAATTTCATCTTTGTTATATAGGTCGCTTCACGAACGAAATAGTTCGTAGTGGGCAAAGAACAAAACCACAACTCCTTAGATTGATGCAGGTCAATAACTAGTAGTAACGTTTCGGCATCAGCAAAAGTGAAACGCTGCTTAGAGATATGGATTAAGAGGATCCAAAAACCACTGAAAATAATCACACTAAGCAGACAAAGCATACTAAGAACATCTTTGCAGCGCTATTAACTATTTATCTGCATCATTGGCCCCATTCGCCGCCTCTTCCTGAAGCTTCTTTGTCCAGTATTCCTCAAGAGGGGGTCCAAAAATAGCTTTGCCAGAAACCACTCCTATTCTACAAAATGGAATATAACATAGAGAATGAGTATTCATACAAGTATTTCAATTGGAGAAATTAAGCTATCGAATTAATGCAATGTAAAATAGGCGCAAACTGAATTTCTATTAAAATTATCGAAGGTATGTATATGATGGAGCACTGGCTAGTAATAGAATAATTTTTGAAATGACCAGAAAATTTATAACTACAATTAGGGGTGTAAATAAGCTGAGCAGTGTAAGTTTGTTGTGCTTTATTGTCAGATCATTCAAAATTTTATTTGTTTGAAATTGGCTCATATTTGTAAGTTATTTTGGAACTTCAGATACAAGTTTGGTTCATTTGTGATACCGAAGCTAACTCAAATCACAATAGAAAAAATAATTATTATTATTGAAATCAAATAAGTGGTCACAATGAAACGCACTTGAAAAAGAAAATACAACACACACAACATGCAAACTCACTTTAGGGCACACCTAAGCTGATTGTGGTGACGAACAGGGAGCTGGGAGAGGTTGTGGCAAGGTAAAAAAGGGGTTTCCAAGATGCGGATAAAGGGCGGTAGCGATTATGGGTGGCTGGAAAAGCAGGTCAGCAGGAGACTGCAGTCCAAACAGCAGCAGTTTGCTGTTTGGGGCAGCTGATCAGCAACAAAACAACAAAGGAAAGGCATTGCGTGCTGCAACAGCAATGGAGGACTGGGACAGCGAGGGCAGCGAAGAGGGAGGGCTGGAATGGTAATGGTACTGGGTATCGGGAGGGAGGCTGAAAGGCTGTGGGCTATCAGAAACAGCAAGAGGGCTGGCTGTCGGTTGAATCAGAAGGTGGCAGGGATTGTGGAAGGGAGGTGATTGGAACAGCGATGACAACAAGTGAAATCATATGAAAATTAGGCTCAAATGTAGAAATTGCATGAAGAATAGCATCAACAGCTATTCCGGGTGGCTGCAGCAAAGATGGTGTGCGGGAGCAGTGCAGAGAGGATGTGAAAGGGAAATAGAGAAGTTAGACACCACCTCATGAGAGAGAGAGATACAGCTGGAGCAACACCCAATCCCCTAACTACAGCCCTCAAAAGGAGAAAACGGGCATTGCCAGCTGTCCCAACAAACTCACGCCAAAAACTAACCTGACACTCTGTAACAAAGATATAATAATAAGATAAATAGGAGTGGGCCCAAGGACCGGCCAGCTACTCCACAAACCTAAATCAAGCCGGTGCAAGTGAGCAAATCTTAGCCCGCTCACGGCAGGACTTCCCACTTCCGCTACCAAGCTGGAGACGCTCACGTCGTTCCCTTGGGATTGGCTCATTTGTGGAGACTTATGGCTCCTTGTAGTATAATGTTAGATTAGCATCGTTGAAGGTGGCAAAAATGTTTTACTCTCCTTGTAAGTCAAATCTGTAGACGACATTCCAGAGTACGACTTGATAGAATAAGTATCCATCCTCATTTAACACAACCTGACCTGGAGTTGCCTGTCGATGGATATCTTAACAAATCAAGCTTCGAGCCATCAAATATACAATTGGCTTCTTGTACTCCTCATAATCGCCCAAAGTATATGTTAAATAAGGAGGATTCAAATTTGGGACTAAATCTATTGCAGGTTGAGTAGCTCTAACTAGCAACTACTCAAGAACCTTTTCATCTTCGCCAAAAAGACCAAGATCCCAATGGAGGATGTTCTTTCCCACTAATCTCCTAAGACAACTTCCAACACTGCGGGTCATCACTCATATCTAATCATTTGTCGGCGGATACACTGCAAAATTGACTATATTACCAAAATAACTCTATATGATCTTCTAGAAGCAGCTCAAGTGCTTCTCATCTCTAATATGTTGAAACCGCCTTAGTAGGGGTAACTCGAGGTAAGGCTACAAATCCAAAATTTTGAAATCTTCTTATCTGAAGTTGCCCTATGTCTACCATCAGCCACTCAAACTAATGACTCTTTGGACATGCAATGCCTGTTACTGAAGCTCCTCCAAACGCCTGCATACTCTATATGAACGATCATAACCTCAGACTCACTACGTTCTAGCACAACCGATGGTAATTTAACTGGAGTCTCTCTCCTGGTTTTGGATGGAATTGCTGGCGTCTCTTCCTCATCTGTTGGAGGTGAGAATCCTCTAAAATATTCATCCTTTCCTAGATCATTGTGGTCTGTGTATTACTTCAGCCACTCCCTAAGAAGTGAAATAGATTATTCTCCTAACTGTACAATTTGATTCAATATGTCAAAATCCATGACATTTGATAATTCCTGACGGAGACAGATATGAGAATGTGAATTGGTTCTACATTTTCTCCACTCTGACCTAATGCCTCCTTAAGCGGGGCTAGCTAGGATGTTCCCCTAATTGTACTCTTGCTGTAAGATCCTGAGGTTGAATTATTCGCGTAAGATGTGGTGGCCACCTAATGATGTGGTCACTCCACTTTTGAAACTGGGGTTTGAATGTTCAGTATGTAGTGTGTTGGTAGGAACTAGCGCTACATCTCCTGTTCATGTTGAACCAGATAATAATTTTATTTTTCTCTTGTGCTGTCGTAGGTGGTTCAAATTTTTCCACCAAAAAAATAAAGGTGCATTATTTGGTCAAAATAAAAAAGCCAAACCGAACCGTTGAAGTTTGATTTGTTCAGTTCGGCTTTAACAATGAATTTTAGTTTTTGATTTTTAAAACTTTAACATTCGGTTTTTGCTTCAATTTTAATTCATTTAACTAGAAAAACAAAAAATTTATTAAAATTTTTATTATATTTTGATTTCAAATTAAAAATGTCAATTTTTATTATATAAAATATTTGAATGAAATAAATAGAGGATCCATAAAAAATAAATTGATATTATATAGACAAGTAATTCGTTATGTTTGTTCTTAGCCAAACACCAATAAAAAATAAATTTTGATTTGTTCATAATAGAACTGTTTAAACCGAATTAATTTCAGTCTGATCAATTTAGATTAATCAAAATTTAGATTTGTACAAATTTTAAAACCAATCCATCCAAACAGACCGAATGCTCACCTATAAAATAACACTCTTCTTAACTTGCAAGTAGCTACTTCTACCATGCTATCCGATGGGAAGTCATGAAACTCGAAGAAAATTTTCACAATCTGGAGCCACTTGATGAACTTGTCTGGATCTAAGTTGTCATCAAAATGTGGCAAATTCGACAAATACATCTTTATTTCAAAATGCTATCTTCTCAAGTATTTCAAAACAAGTATTCGGGGTAGATATTCAGCCATGACATCGGTGTGGTAGAAGAGATTCACTGCATTATTTTGATTTAGGAAGCCCTGTTGCAAGAATATTATAAGATTTTATATAACCCCAAGTCATTAATGAAACAGTTCAAGCCTTTTGGAACAATCATTTCTTGAAAATTCAGAATCCGAAATAAAGTTTCAAACTCCTAAGTAACCAAGTCTTAAATATAAGAATGGACCTAAGGAAAGAAAAAAGAACTGGAGATAAGAACTGAAATTCAACCCAAAAAGGTCGCAATGCACCAACGAAAAGAATTCCCAGGCCTGACTTGATTGACTTTGTCTTTTTGGCAAGCTAAACTATAATGCAAATAAAACATGGCTTTACACTAGAATGCAAATAGTAATAGATGTGGGGAATAGACAAACTCATTCTTTCAAATAACACGGCTTATAGCATTGCATATCTTTCTAGGCAATCTTGAAGGTATCCTTTAACTCTTCACCGGCACTATCCTACTTAGTGCAACTAAAAGCTCCATGTAAAGAAGGTTTGTAACATGTACATCGAAGGGTATGACTCAAAGAAGAAAATGTAAAAACCCAATTACATGCATGGAAAACTTTCATCGTACAGATGCCTTAATTATAGTTTTTAAGCATATGAACCATTATTTGATCACCTTCATCCATCCATCTATGAATGAAAGGCAATGATTCACTGTAACTTGGTGTCCATCAACTCCAAAGGAACTTCTAGAAATTCTTTAGAAATTGGCAATCCCTAAAAAAAAAGGGATGAAAACAAGCCAAAATGCTTCAAAACATGCAATAAAATTAAACAAATAAAAATACAGCCTCTCCTCAGGAAATGATCTTCTAACTTAAATTAAATCCTATACCAAATAGGTAAATAAACCCTCTTCATGTCTTGGGCAGTTTCCTAAAAAGTCCATCCAAATGAGCTCACATGGCTGACTAGGTGCTGCAAGGGCGTATACAAATCCATTTTCTGATTTGAGGCTTCAAGGTGCTCCAGAGTAGCAATGCCTTCAAAAACCTTTCGGTAACCAAGAGCATCTTTGATCGATAAAAATATTACATTAGGTTTTTCCACACCAAAATGTTCAACTATTCAGAAATATGTGCCTCGCAAGTCAAGTCAAACAATTGGCAACTCTAGGTACACATAATAGACCTCAATGATACAATAGATCATCCTTACAACTGTATCCTTCCGGTCCTGCACTGATAGGAGCTGATATTAATGCCCCAAACTGCCTTTTGTAGTCTATACTTATTTTGGCCTCCAATATACACAAATCCTATGTAACCTTTACATTTACGTGGGATACATTAGGTTGAGGTGTGACAGTAAGAAAAGAAACCAAGTTCATTTACCCATCATACCATAAATTCATATCTAGTAGAAAAAAAGTTCTCAGAAACTAAGATCAGATAAAACACAAGTAATGTAATACATCCAAAACCCAAATACAATATAATATATAATAATTTACAGTTTTCTCACTAACCTATAGGCCCTTATTCTCACTCGAAACTAACACAAGCGCAATATAGTGAGAAAAAAACCAGATATTTCACAAAAAGCTTACATAGGATTTAGTTTACAGAAAATAATAAGCATGCGTTATGTCAGAAATCAAATTGTGCTTATAATCCTATTCATGTGCACTGACTCGAACACCTCAACCAATACAGTTGCATTGATAATAGACCAAATGAAGTAATGGAAATTCATGAATTTCAAGGATGAAAA